AATGACCTTCCTTAAGAGAAATATTACTATGTTTTTTTTTTTTTTTTTTTTTTTTTTGGTTTTTCAAGTTTGAGTTTCTTTGTGCAGCCCTGGCTGTCCTGAAATTAGCTCTGTAGACCACCCTGGCCTCGAACTCAGAGATCCACCTGCCTCTGACTCCCGACTCCTGGGATTATGGGCACCACCTGGGATTAAAGGTGCGAACCACCACTGTCCAGCCCAGCCCCTCATTTTCACTTTAAGACAGGGTGTCACTAAGTTGTTCAGGCAGGCTTTAACTTGAGATCCTCCTGCCTTAGTCTCCTTATGTAGAAATTTTTTGTTTTGAGACAGGGTGTCACTATGTAGCTCTGGCTGTCTTAGAACTTGTTATATAGACCAGGCTGGCCTTGAACTCTCAGAGATCCACCTGTCTGTGCCTCCTAAGTGCTGGTATTAAAGGCGTGCACCACTACAGCTAGCAGTTAAGTGGAAAATTTTAATGTGCATTTATCTTATCCTTCCAGAGCTAGGAATGTATGAGGCAGAGCCATGGCCTATTTGTAACAGTTCCCTGTCTCATTCTATTCCTGGAACAGTGCTTGTGGCTGTGACAGCAGGCGTCTTGCGCTTCCCTGCAAACTGGGTCAATATATTGTGTGGTTTACTATGCTGCTCCTCGATGTGGACAGAATGAGGCTGACAGGCAATCAGGCTGTCCACAGCTACACCGGTCCGTTACAGTAAGACCTAAAGTGAGCTTCACTGGAGATGCAGTTCGAGAAGCATAACTTCCTGTCTTCCAAATGCTATGAAATAATTCAAAATCACCTCTGGCTTCATCGTTTATTCTATTCTCACTGTGTCTTCCTAACCAGATGTAAATGAAGCCCCAAAATTACCTAGGCAGAAAAGTAAAGCCTCTGCTCTAATCAGCAGGTGCACTGGGTAGTTCCCCCAATGTCCTGGCATGGTGGCTGAGGCAGGGGATTGTCCACTGAGCACTCTCCATGGCCTAGGCTGGGGTAGAATCATCAAGTTTGCTGTCACAGAAAAGGACAAGTCCTCCCACTACACCATTGGACAGCTGATATCTCCATTGCTCATTCCTCTACCTTCTGACCCCAGTTCCCCTACAGCCCCAAACACCTCAGGCACACACCCCCTAC